CGGCGACCCGCCTCACGCAGGCGTCGATGATACAGACACCGAGCCTCTCACCGGTGTTGGTGATACAGACACCGAGCCTCTCGCCAGTGTTGCTGATACAGATATTGAGCCTCACGCCGATATCGTTGATATAGATGTTGAGCCTCACGCCAACATCAGTGATACTTCCATCGGTGACTCTCAGGGCACCGATGGTACTACGAGTGTTGGTGTATCTTCTCCAGGTGGGTCAGCAAGCCCAATCAAAGCTTGCTCTCCTACTCCAGCTGTTGTTTCTCCCTCCAGGCCCCCCTCTACACCAGGCTTCCAGTTCTCAGCTCCTTCTCCTCTTGAGGTGATCTATGCCATACCCACTGAGGTGGTGGACATGTTCAGAGGCTTCACATCTCAGTGTCAGTTGCTCATCTCTCAACAGTCCTCCCTCAGCACTGATTTATCTGGGAGATTGGACTGCGTTACATCTGAACTACATCAACACAGTGCCGCCTTGACAGATCATGGCATTGTCTTCTCTGCTATGAAAGCTACGGTTGATTCTCTTGATGTTCGCATGACTGCTCTCTCCGATTCTCAGGCCAGTATCTCTAAAGTTGTAGCTGATCTTAGTGCTTGATCGAAAAGTCAAGCTGCCACAAATCAAGCAATTCTTCAATCTCTGACTGATCTTCACTTTAAGATGGATGCACAGACTCAGATATCCAAATTGTTCTTAGCCAGAGATATAGAGTTCACTGTTGACTTGGGTCCTACTTAGTTCATGGAAGAGGACAGGGTTATGTTAGCCAAAGTCAGTCGCCGTGTTGAGTCCGATTATGCTCTTCTTGGCGGTCTTCATCGCGGTATCTCACGTCTGCTTCATGCCACATGCGCTCCCTTTCCTCGTGCTACTGCCTCTGTGCCTTCCCTACCTGCCAATATGGAGGGTCCTTCTGTTCCTACTAGTGGACCTTCCCCTGTTCCCACTGAGGGGGAGAAGACAGTTGATCCTGCTACCAGTGATAACGGGGACGACGACTCAGCTTCTACTTCTTCTACCTCTTCATCTTCAGCTGAGTCAGACTGTGATGCTCCTACTGATGGGGAGCTATTTGATCATGATAATAGAGTCGCGGTACCTGTTGAGGGGGAGCAACCATGTTCTATGCCTTCAGTATCTGTTGAGGTTGGTACTATCCCTTCTCAAGATGATATTCCCACTACTTCTGGGGACTTAGTCCAAACTCACAGAGAAGGAAAGGCACCCATGACCTCAGATGAAGAAGCTGCTGCAGGTAAAGCAGCTAAAATTGCTAGACATCAATCTGCAGTTCCTTCAGCCGACAGACTTGTGCTTAAAGCTTCATGTCCTCAAGAAACTGATCTTCACCTCCTATGTATTTCTTCTGAGGATGCAGCCAACTCAATTGCTCTTCAAAAGCAGTTTGAGGAAGCCAACGGATCTCACTCCTTAGTCCCACGATCTGAGTCTGAAGAAACCAAAGAGAAAAGAATTAAATGGTTTAATGACTCAATTCTCCGACGCTACACTATTACTCGAATTGTCAATGCCAGAATCAAAGGTCCTCAAAAATTGGCCTATGATTCCAATCTGATCTATTTGATTATTGGTCGAGAAAACGGAGTTGTGAGGACAAAAAAAGCTGACTTGGATCAATTCTTACGGTCTTACTGAGTGGATGGAGATCATCAAGTTTCTAAGTAAAAGCAGAAGCATGTACAAGGAATTTGTCTTGAGTCATCTGTATCGCCTTCTCAAAAAGATACAAATGATCAAGATGCATTACAAGCTGCCTTCCCCTCCATAACTCTCTTTTCTTAAGCAAGTGTTAAGCAAAGCTGGCTCTTCTAAATCTGCTTCTGCCTCGAAGACCATCAAGAATCAAGACTCGCTTATTCARAWWTTATCAAAGGAAGGTAAGGCTCCTGATGTCTCACATCTTGATCTTACCCTTCCTTCATATGTTTGTCATCCGGAAGGAACTATCTTGTCCGCTYCTGAGCRTGGAATATTCTTYTGGGACGCRAGTAGTTGCCTTCGATTTTTCCGAGCTTCTAAGATACCTATAGTTGATTCTCAGCTATTGCGTGTGATACTGAGTGTAATCAAAATTGGTGAAGCCGGAAGAGTCTTTTATACTTTGATCTCGGATGAACTGAAGAGAAGAGATGTTCTTGCAGTGGCTGATTCAGACACTATGCAAGTAGATGATGATTGCTAGCTTTCTTATGTGATTTCTTCTTCTCGAACTACTTTCTTCACTGTAAGTATTTAATGCATTGTCTAGTATAAATGCAATTTGATTTTTCTGTATTTACTTTAAATTTCTGATTCATTATTTGTTTATCTCTGATTCATTATTTGTTTGTATATACGTTTATAGTTTAAAAAAATCAAAAAAAAGGAAAAGAACCCAAAAAGAATATGTACATGGGTCACATAATTTATAAGTTTTTTTTCAAAGAATTTTAGAGTTTGTGTATCTTGTATTTATTT